GGGGGTGGAAAAAATAGGGGGCCCCCTAGAAATTGCTTCCATTGTGGAGACACGGAAGGCACTTCACTTCGAAATGCAATCATGCACCACATGTTTGGGCCGAGTACATACATAGTAAGCAGACACTCAAGTCTGTTGATAAGCGCTGTGCAGTGGCACAACGAATTCAAAGGGCAAGCTGGATTGCAACAGCCACCCACACACAGAATTGTGGAGTCGAGCTTCCGTTCAGGAGTCAAGACCACGCGTGATCGATCGCAGTCTTGTTTTGCAGAGATTCCGAGCGAGCCACTGCGTTGCATTGTAAAAGGTACAAATGGAACGTTTTCGGCGAAAGCACGAATATTTTTGGCTCCCGCATGCCAGTGTATGATCATGTATGTATGTGTACTTACATGGTTATGTACATGTATATGCGTCTACTTGTTTATGTTGATGCAGACATGTATATATGCATAAATGCGTTATGTGTGCATACATGAATATATATATATATATAATACATTACACATTACATACATACATACATACATACATACATACATACATACATTCATTCATTCATACATTCATACATTCATACATTCATACATTCATACATTACATTACATACATTTTTAGCACTCACATACACACATACATACATACATACATACATACATACATGCATACATACATACATACATACATACATACATACATATGTGTGTGTGCAAGTATAGGGGAGACAGAGAGAGCTACCTTTGGCAAAAAAGCCACACCAATATGCAAAGTCTATAGTAACACATAAACCTAAATGGCCGTGTGTACGAAGCAAATGTGTCTTGAGCGAAAAACGATCACATGAACAAGCATGCCTACACACGTTTGATACCCTACTGAGACTGTGCAACTAGAACACTACTCAGACTCTACTCTACACTACGTCAACTTGCTACTAAGTAGTTAACTCTGAATCGATCGGGCTCCACCCCCTGATGCTTGGAAAGTCACTGGCAGCTGGCCCATTTTGCTCCCTATCCGGATCAGGCCATAGGTCAGAAGCAAGGCCAGCGTTAGCAGTAACGCCGTGCGGCGATTCCATGCATTCGCTTTGGTGAGCCGGTAGATCGTGTAGCAAACAAGGACGATGGCCATTCCAGGAATCATGGTATGAATAACTCTGATTAAGATGCCGAAGGTAACAAGCAAAACTCCTGCGACGCCATTCTGAAGAGCAGAAAGCGTGTTTGAAGCCTGGGCAAAAGCGAGACTGTGGCTGCAAGCACCAACATCGTTGAAAGCCTCGACGGATCCTATACGGCCTGGGACTCAAAAGGCCTTCAAGAGCTGCGCCAAGCTTCCTGTGTCTCGAAGGAGGAAGCTGCACCGCTCAGATCGCTAGCAGCGAAGAGCTGGCCGCAGGAGGACCACGCCCATACTCCCAAACAGCAGGCCTGAAGCAAATGATGTTGCAGGACTGTGCACAAGTCACCCGGGACGAGTCAACCCACGAATCTGCACCAGGGCACGATAATGCCGCAGCTCTTTGACGCCATTTCGCAGGAACAGGTGCCTGCTAGCACGCGACCTTGAGCCCAAGTCAGCGCAGGTCGAACCTGGGCACAGACAATGACGGGAAGCGGGCAGTCGAGGCAAACACACCTGGTCCAAGCCCTCCTGTTCCATTCCCCCCCTCTTGCCGGCAGATGTTCAGCCAGCGCCGCTGCCATGACGGGGCTCAACAGCGTGGTGCGCGACCACTCCCCATCTTCCTTCCCGGATACTGCAGGATTTCAGGTGCTCTGTTTATGGCAGGCGCTTGTCCAGACTGCTTGTCAGCAGAGGCCCGCGCAGAGGACAGGCGAAGCCTCTTCCCAGATCCCTCATCTACCTGCAAAAGCAATTCCACATTTCAGTACACCCAGCCACAATCGAAGGTCATGCTCTCAGCGCAGTGCGACGGCTAGGCATGGCTGCCCGCTCAGGTTGGCAGGAATTACGTACCGGTCCTGCTGGACACAAAGCCAGAACATGCCACAGCAGCCACCAGTCACATGTGCTTGCGCAACGCACTGTATGGCAGATTGGCATGCCCATCCTGACCCTTCCTGTCCCTTTCAACGCCTGAGTCAAGATCTCTTGTCCGAAGAGATGCACACATGAACATCGAACGTCGGGTGCGCTCTCGTTCTTCTGCGTGAGTCAAGCGGCAGCTCCCCACCCAGATGGCTTTCTGCTTCGCAGGGGCCTCTGATTCGTCAAAACGGCGGCGAAAAGGCGAAGCCTTGAACTGTTTTGCCTCCTTTGGCTGCCGGGCCGGAGGTAGGATCATCGCCTGTTGGCACGCTCAACACATGTTGCACACTACGTTCACCAGACCTTCGGGGCCTCAACACAAGACACAGAATGCTCGCATCTTTGGCAAAGCCTCCATATCCTACCAGAGCCTACCCAGCCATGTCATAAAGCAAGCTTGAACATCTGCCGGAGCTGCCCTCGCAAGTGCAGTCTTTGCTGCTTGCTCATCGCCCTCTCCAGAGCTCCTCGCATGTACGGCGCCACAGCCACAATGCAACACGGACGTGCCCTTAAATCTCTGTGACCTAGCCCTGTTGCGAGACATGCCTCGACCCTCAAGGTACGGAGCACGCGCGGGGTGCACATTCGAGGTCTCGAGCGGGACCGTGCTTGTCACAAAAATCTTGATGCGCAACCGCATCAGACCAGCAAAGACCTACTCAGCACACAGTTGAAGGTATGCACATACGTGCAGAGCATAAAGGCAGACACAGTCTAGCCACAGAGGCATATTACTGGCAGAAGACCTGTCATGAAGGCCTGTGTTTGGGATCGTGCTGAATTGTCTTGATTTGAACATTAACGGGCTCCAACAGTGGCTTCTGTCTTGCGTTCTGCTTAGGGCCTGGGCGCGTTCGACCTCGCTCACTCCCTGCCGCTTTACATCCGAGCAAGACGGATAAAACAAATCAAAAGTACACTTGCATTTTCCGTACACACTTGCATTATAGTTATATGACAAAACTGCTTTATTTTTCAGTGTGTATATGTATATATATTTATATTTTTTGTTTATTTATTTAATTTATACAGATGCAAACTGTAGGAATACAAAATCATTTCGAGGTCTACTGTCGACAGGTACTCCGTAAAAAAAGCTCGGGGATGCTCGGGGAGTGTGTATGCGCTTGCTTCTTCGTTTCGCTAGCCATGTCCTCCCAGAAGTTGCTTAGTTGCTGAGTTCATAACCACGAAAACTGTACACTTTCAGTCCTATAAGGGGTCATATTCTCCCAAAAGGCTTAATGTGGGGTAATTCAGCTACTAAGGTTGAATTGCCGAGCGAATGTTTAGTCGCAATGTAGCCGCAAGCAAAGCCTCGTGTTGCATTGCATGGTTCCGTACGAGTCCAGCCGATTGTGCTTTTCATGCTAGTACTTGTTACTTGTGCAGATCCACAAAGGCGCCTAGCTGGCCTAGCTTGTCTGTCTCCTCTGGCTCTGGGCAGGAGCCACGACAAGTCGGAGACCGGCGCCCAAGCGGCGGCGCCAACCCTGCAGCAATGTACTCTGAACACTGAAACTGTCTGTGAGTCTGACTAATGAGCCGCCGAACTTGCCGCTGCATACGAGACGATGCCCGAACAGTTTATCAAGTGCAGAGTGGGAACTCCGTACTGGCCAGCGATGGATATGTGTAGAGGCAAAACCCTTTTTCTCAGGGCGGTCGCTATACGAAAGATGTGCTGTGGTTTCTATCTGCCTTTGCTTAAATAAGGATCCTACGATCAGACGCTTCCTGAACATCCCAGTCCGTGATCGGCCAGGGGCAGGGCACCACCTTGGTATCATGGCATTCAATGTGGACAGGCACAGTTGAAGTCACATACACACTCAGTAAACATGTGCGCAATGCCGACATGTTTTCGGGCTTGAAAGCCCCTCAGCATACTTGCCCAAGACCTTTCGGCAGCAGTACATGGTCACACAGTCTAGGAAAACCCTCAGGGTTCTTCTATATCATATTTCAATGCTCTCGTGGCACCATTCGTTTTGATAGTAATGCCGACGTCACAAACCCTAGTACTATGATCATTCTCGTACAGAGAGCCAGGCAAATTCGAAAACCACCAACGTCGCAGCCTGACGATGGCCAACACGCCAGTCGAGAAGCTCTCTTGACAACCTATCGAGAGAATGGACTATCACAAATGTTTTGTTGCAGGCAGACTGCTACAAGTAGGACATCTCCGGCCTCTGCGATGAAGGAGGAAGGCGTTGCATCGAGTATTCGCGACTGCCGACGCAGCTGAGAACAGAAGCGAATCCGCAGCGCTGCCGGCATCAATGCAGCTGCACAGACCTCGAGGAGAATCTTCCGCTTCACCAGGGGATCTATGATGTGCATCTGCCTTGCTTTGCACTCTTGCTGTATGTCTGTCAGACACTTGACAACCTTGTGCTGGCAGGCTGCACTTTCATCATCACGTCTGCATGCGCACCTTTCAATCAGCACGAGAGCTTTGGCTTTGCTCCCGAGCTTCAGACCTGGCTCATTGGTGACGACAACGAAGTGCACGGGCACCTCGAAAGTCTGCAAAATGATCTTTAAAATCATTAATTAAATATCTCAACATGCGATGACCATCTAAGCATGCTCGTGTGACAAAGATGCAAGCATAGTCTTGATCGCTTGGGGTGATGATGATGACGACGACGACGCTGCCGGCGACGAAGACTTCCCCCTCTCACGTCCATGCTACAAATCATACCAAAACGACCAGCAGATTCGTACAAGTAGGCCAGAGTGGGACGATGCGAATCACGAAGGAAAGAGCCGCGCAACCCTCCCTCAATCGTGAACCCCCACACAGATATGTGGCGATGAGGATTTCTCGAGCTCGTATGCAGTTGGACTAGACGGGATTGTCTTCTCAATTCGTTTTCGAAGGCTTCGGACTCAGCCGGGCTTGGCTCAGCCGTATAGACATAGACATGTATCCATCCGGCAAAACGGGAGGGTACAAGCAAAACGAGTGGCACCTGCATGGCTGTGCAGCCATCATGATCAACAGCCTCGATCACATCCTGGTGAGGAAAGCTTGCATATCTGGAAGCCTGCAACAATGCTTAGATGCGCAGTCCCGAAGCCCCACATGTGCTGCGCCGCTCGGTCTAGATCCCGGCCTCTGGTTGCTGTGCCTGCTAACTTCTCGAGCACGAACTGACGCTTCGCTGCGATCGCTTCGGAGCGTAAGACCCACACGATATCACACGATCGCATCGTTCATGTCAAATGTCGGCCAAGTAGTTGCTGCCTCGTGTGCATTATGCTTACCGCTCCCTACCCTACTAAGGACAGCTCTCTACTGTCGGGCAAGTCCAGGGGTCATGCTCAACAGGAGCCCCAGCAAGCGCATGCCGCTGTGGCGGTAGTTGGCCGTCATTGGATTCACCGAGGAAAAAGTCGAAGAAAGTACTGCTGGAGCATTTGCCAGCATTGAGGCGGTTACACGACAGCAGCCATGGTGCTTTCCACTTCGCACAGACATGGGTCAGCTGCACCGAACCTCTGATGACTGTTCGAATCGAGAATCTGAGCTGCAACACCACGCACACATCAAGCTCAGGCTCGTCGCACTACTGTTTTCGGCTTGCGCGCTTGACAAGAGTGCATGCAGTCAGCTGCCTTCAGCAGTTCTTTGGACCCAGGACCAGAACCGACGTCAGATCCATCAACGAATTTTTCCATTCAAGTAGACTGTAGACTCGTGAGACTAGGCAATCTTTGATAAGCTGGTCAGGTCAGTACTCCAGCAAAGAAGGAGTCAGGAGGAATCAAGAGCTAAGGCAGCTAAGGCATGAGGTCTTGCCTCAATTGTGCTTACCCCTCCCTTCGCCTGCTGTGCTGGGAGATCCCTATCTACGGGACTGAATAGGAATGCAACTCAATGCAACTCTCTCAGCCGAAGCCACTAGGCCGCCAGCCTGGCTGCCTCCTTCCGCCTGAGAATGTCCGAGTGCCGGGTAGGCTCTGCTCGGTCGCTCTCCGAGACTCCGGCCGATGCTTCGCTTTATTTCCTCTTTACATCTAAGCTGACACGCATCAGGCGAACTTGCTTTGCCTGCCTGGCAGCTTTCAAGTCATCTCTCCACATCCAATGTGTGCACAAAGCCGCTCGGACGGTGACGAGAGTTGCTCATCCAGCATTCGGGGGCTCTTGCATGCAGCAGGCGTGAATAACCCCTGAACTGCACCTCGAGTCAGTGCCCACGGCCAGGCACGGAGGCACCACCTTTGCAGGAACCAGCTGTTAGTCCTGTTTGTTGAGACGCTCGGTTGCTGAACCTTGAATCGAAACTCTGCACGATTCCTTGTCTCAGCATGCTGAGTTTCCGGGTGCCTTGACACATCCCCTCAGGCAACATCGACAACAGGTGGTACAGGCGACTAAGCTCAACTTCGACTTCAACACCTGTTCCTGTACACACTCGCGCTCTTAAGTCTTGCGACTCTTGCACCATGTCGCACCTTCTCCCGCTTCTCGATCGAACGGCCTTGCTTTGAGGCTCTTGAGCAGGAGCTGCCCCCCTCGAGACTCGAGGCCCCGGCCCGCTTTCTCGGCGGCCCGCATGATGTCTTCGATGGCTGCGCCCAGAACCTTTGTAACGATCCGGCATTATGTCTGCAGCAAGCCACGGCATGTATCGGGCGTGATCACTGAGAGAGAAAGAACAACCTATGCACCCTACGCCGGCCTTCTCCAAGTGCTTTGCACCAGAAGAATTGAAAACACGGTATGCATACCGAGATCACGGCTAGAGGTCGTAAAACGCGTGCAACGGAGCCGTTCAACGACCTCATGTTCGCCCGCAACTGGCAAACCAGCACGGATATTGGGCCGTCTTCCGAAACTGCTACCCAAAAAGTGATGACCGTTCGTGGCTTTGCAAAGTACTCCCTGACTGTCTACAATCTTGGGCATATGGCATATGGCAACAGCTCGAGTGTAATCTCTGTGTAGCCTCCTCTGTCTGTATACGCGCAGTGAAAGTTGTTGGGCCATGCTGTGCATATCCATAATCACCTCCCACGATGAGTCCATGAGTCATCACTGCTCTGCCAGCTTCTGATCTGAGCCCAGTCGCACAGACTGGCGCAATTCCAACGTGACGGTGCTCCAGAGACGTATCCGCGATTCGGAGAAAGCCTGCTCGTGTGCAAGCTGCTTGAAAGTAGCCTTGACAGGTGGACCTCACAATTCCTGCAAGGGGCCCTGCTGCGGAACTCACAGGCCAAGATCCGTCGAGTTTGGCCGAAGCCCGTGCCAGTCCCGTGCCTCTAGACCATTGCGCACCTCGCCTGCAGTGACCACCTGAGGCACTACAGGCTGCCTGTCTTAAGGCAGCTGAATTAAGGCTTTCAGAAGAATGCAGATGGTGGAGGAGATGCCGGGTAATGGAGCGACGATCACCAAGGGCCAAACAGGTACCAATAATTTCAAGTCTGGCTCGAAGCTATGCATGCTCAGCTTGCCGCACAACCGAGAGGTGGCAGGACAGCGATGGCGCTCACTGGCACTTCGTGCGCCTGGCATGGCTGGCAGGTACCAATGAAGCTCGGCTGAAGTTGATTGCGATCTCAGTCGGAAGAGCCCGAACACCAACCTCCCATCCAGCAAGGAAAGTTGCAGCAGATTGCAGAATCCGAAACTACTGAGCGAGTGTAGGGCCTGGAACTGGTGCAGAGGGCTCGACTGTCCACATGCGTCCCAGACGAAGACATTGCCATCCTGCCAGCCGTGTGAAGCAACACAAAACCGCCTCTTGGAACATGGGAGTATGCGATCGTCGTCACGATGCAAAAATGCCAAACTTGGCGGCACGTTTCTCGGAACTCGCGAAAGCTTTCGACATGCAGAACAATTTCGCATCTCAAACATGGCAACATTTGCCATGGAACGCGGCACGCAGTGGTGATCTGCATAATTGTCTTTTTGTGCGGCAGGCTTGCCGACCGGAGCAGGACCCACCACTCACTAACCCAAACCACAGGGCAGGGGGGACGGAGAGAGCTGTCTGCACACGCCGGAACCGCACCAGAGAGAAGGCCGTCAAAGGGACAGGGGCACTACCCACAAGGGGAAAAGGGGAACAAGTGTGTCAACAAAATCAGAACAAACATGACAAACACCGCGGACAAGTAGCTGCGCACGGGGGTTTCGGCGAATCCGGGTATGAGTCGGATTGACATCAATAGTGAGCCAGACACAAGACATTCCATTACGCAGCCGTTCCGGCTGTAGCAGACAGCAAGCCCTAAGCCGTATAGAGCCCAGAGCCCTTTTGCATCTGGTTTGCAGCGACTCAACCAGGACAGAAACAAGAGGCACTCCCGAAGCCCAGAGCCCTAAGCCCTGAGACCTAAACCCAGCCCAAACCTTGAGCCCTGAAACCCTAAGCCCTCAACCTTAAGCCCCACGCCCTCAGTCAGCCCCTAAACCCTAAAGCTCTCCTTTGTTTTGAATTAACTTTCAATCGTGGCCCGAAACCGCGAAATCCCGGGACCGGGAAGTTTTTAAATTAGGGGGGGTAATGTCAGGGGAAGCGATTACGGTTGCTGGGCTGCTTCTTCAGCTCAGCCTCGTAGCCCGCGACGATGGAGTTCCTAAGAGTAAGCAGCACATCTTCAAAGCAAAGGCTCGATATATGAACTGCAGAGGGAAACGTGCTCTGAGAACCAGGCGCAAGGGTGGCGATACACCTTGAAGCTTTGCCGAGCACAGCTCACCAAAAACTCCTGCCGCCCAGCCTCACGGCAGAGGGCGCTCGCATGGGCACCGAGGGAGGACTGCGGCTCCTCGCTGCCGGGCTGGGCCAGATCTGGGAGATGCCCTTCCAAGAAGTCTCTGAGTTGGACACCCTCTGGAGAGGCCTTTCCAACGAGAGACGACCTGTTGCGTCCCGGCGTCGACCCCGCACTCGGCTTCCCTTTGAGACCTCAAGGACTCAAGGCCTGGAAGCGCACGTAGAGCTCCATGTCGTCCGTGCCTGAGCCGATCTGCAAGCCGCGGCCAGCTCATGCGGCGCTCCAAAGCGCTCCCGGGCCTCGATCGACGCGCTCGGTGTTGTTTCGGAGTCCCAACGTGACCAAAGCGCTGCCAATGGCTTCGCCCACCTCACCACTCTTGTCGCTTCGCAGGTGTTCTGCATGCAGGTGGGATTTCACATGTTGGCCCTACGGTCACGGGTGGGCCGCTGGGCCTGCTTGCGCTTGGCCTTGGGGCCGGCCGCGTCTGCGACTCCTTGATCCTCGCGATGGGGCAATCTCTGCACTCCTTCCACTCCTTCCACTTTCCCTTCGTAGCGCACAAGCGAACCAACCAAATTAGGCCCGTTCCCTATTCCATTATGATCTAAAATCAGTGCAAAGCTCTCACATGCGACTCATCTGATGCCATCTGTGAACCCGAATGGATCGAATTTGCGCGGGAAAGGCTGTCTCCCATGAGCTCCAGCGCTGCTTTGTACGGCTTGTCCAGCTGCTTCAAAACCATCTTCCGAAGAACGGACCCACACCTCGCAGGGGCTTGAGCCTTTAGTCATTACATATATGCTGTGTTGCCAGTCAGCATATCATGGTCTTAGTGGGCCTTACGTCGTCCGCAAACGGATCGGGAGTGGAGGGCTTCTGCAGAAACGACTTGGACTCCTTGCAAACGTGGGTGATGGGGCAAGTGCGGGGTACTATCGTGTTTGGCCGGCAGTGTGGATCCTCCAACTTCTCACGGATCGTGTACTGCGTAACTTCACACCGCCTGGGAACGTATTTTCCCGACTCGATGACAGCATGGGCTGTACGAGTACGAATGCGTAAGAGCAGGACCCCTCTGTACGGCAAATCTCATCCAGCATCTGCGAGGCATCCGGCAATTGGGAGGAAGAAGCGAACATCCCGGCACAGGAGAGTGAATTACAGTGCAGGTGTCACCGGCCTCCTGCACAGAGATGCTTCCGGAGCAAAGTACCACCTCTTCAAGGGAAGGAGGCATCCGTGAGTGTTTGTCCGGCATTCCCTGCAGCGTTCTGCGGTGAGTGTGCTTTGAAGCAACTTGGCAGCTGGAAGATTACCGCGCCTGCTTCTTCATGTCGACCAAATCAACCTGGTAGTGCCAACTTGCACGGGCCTCACGGGAAAGGCGGCACTGTGAAGCCCCGAAGGCCTGGAAAGTCACAACTAGGAAACCAGGTAGAGTATTTCCCTCAGGCACAGGACATCTCGGGTTTGCGTGGGCGTTCGGTGTGATGCTTCTTTCCACGCAGTCTTTGCTCGCCGAAGTGGTGCCACAAAGGCCCAGAAAACTTCGCTATCGGGCTGCACAGCCATGAACGCGATGAAAATTTGCTAGAATCCAGAAAGCCACGGGAAATGCAGGAAACCATTCCGAATTACTTCATGACCACCGCTCATAGCTGCCCGAACTTGTGACGCAGCGGAGAGGATGGCAAAGTCGGTCACGCCGGAGTTACCTGGCCCTCTTGCTGCGGCATCTCCTTATACATGGCCATAGGCCATGTGAGCGCAGCTTGACTGTTGACAGTTTTTGCCAGAATGCAATTCAGGTCCTCCTCGGCAGGCAGCAGGAGCCATGCAACCAAGCCGAGGAAGGGCACCTGGAGAAGCAAATGCGGCACTCCGTGGCTTGCCAGGGCTCTTATGCTGCTTTGTGTGCCCGTCAAACAGAAACAGAACATGCTCAAAGCCGCCGACCAAACCATCGGAACACCCCATGTGAAGTTCGTCAAGGCACAAAGCGCCAAGCCGGGCCAGCAGTCTCTGCGAAGACATACCTAGGCGCTGAGAATCGACCCTAGGAGAGGCAGTGCCGACTGCAGGCTTGAAAGCCACTCCGCACCTCGACACATGCCAACTTCTCTGCCGAGCTGCGCCTGCAAGACGGCAAAGAGGGTGCAGTCCACTGCAAAAGCAAAGGCGACACGGTCTCCCAAAACTAGGGGGAGGAAGTTGCCCTCAGTCTCTTACCGCTTGCAGCTGGAGCCGGGTTTGCAGCGAGCCCGTAGCATGAAATGATTGGCACTTTGAGAATCTTTGCTCGACTCCGCCCTTCTGCTGCCTGGGGTAGAAGAAGATTGCGGCTTCATCAAACCGACCACCATCACCCACCAAGGTCCAACATGACTCATGACTCTGTTTGGTCGAGCAAAGGCAGGAACTAGAACAACAAGTTCCGGAGCTTACTAGAATTAGCGAGCAGCCAAACAAATCGACTCGAGAAGAGCTGTATGGGTTGAACGATTTCTCAGGGCTACGGCTAGAACTCAGCCTGGGAGACAAGTGCTGTGCGAATATCTCAAACCCGCCTCGATTCATCGTCTCCATCTCTCTACATTCCGGAATTCCAGTATCCACGGCTCGGATCGAGCTTCCATGCTGCTCCGCGGGACGATGGCTTGCCCGTTGTGATTCATTGGAACTTATTGTAACCCGTCTGCCAAGCAGCCCAAAGTCCCCAGGACTGCCACAGTGCCACGACGGCCACGGCCAAAGCGCTGAGGCCCACCAAAGGACTTAGCGCGGAGCCACAACTGCAGGCAAGGAAAATGCAAGAATGCGCGAGCAGAGTCACTACTCGTCGCGCACTTGATGGCCGGGCCACGCCCAACTTGGCTTAGCTTTGGAAACCTGCGATGGTCCTGCCTCAGGCAAAACAACGTGGCCGAACATCATTTCAAGCAGACGAGCTCTGCACATGCCCCGCACGATCCAAGAAAAAGCCAAGCAACGATGCCGCGAACTGCAAAATATGGGAGCAGGATCCTTGTTTGCATAGCTTCCCTTTGCAACTAGAACTAGATCTGCCAACAACTCGTTCAGCCTGGCATCGCATTTGTCAGAAACATGGCCGGTGCCCACCAGTTGTAAACATCCTGTCGCTTTGGCCGATCCCAAAGAAGAAGCGGCAGCAGCATGAAAGCATAGGCTTCCTCAGTACACATGGCATCGTCTGAACCACGAGCGATGTCGTGCTAGTAAGTCGCATGTGTTTGTCCAGAGCCAAGCAGCTGCAAGATTGAACAGGGCCTCGGCTCGTGTTCATTTGGCACCCTCAGGATTTCTCAAGAACCAAACATGTGCAAACCCATGCCTTTCCGCTTCAAGCTTCTATCAGCCAAAAGCACCCCATTTCCCGAAGCAAAATCCGGTGCTGGCTTCGACGAGACACAAGACGCAAAGGATCCACGCTGGGCAGCGCTATGCCAAGAAGGCTCGTGGGGCTTGGCAGGCCAACAGTATCCAGGCCAGGCCAGATGTAGAAGAAGTTCAGGGACTTATCCTGAAGCAGAAGGACAAGGAAGGCAAAAGGAATAAAGCCATGGAGAGCATATATCCTGAAGCTGTTACTGCAATGTGCAAGTCTTGGCCAGGCGCAATGACATTGCGAAGGGTTGTCTCGTCAATCGCCCATGCTGGTGGACCTGCAAGGAAGGAGAACTGGCCCTGAGGTGATAGAAGCAAGATGTACCTCGGCGGAGTCTTGGGAATCGGGCGATGGAGATAGTTTGGCTCAAGGCCGTCATGGCCAATCCAGACATTGCTCACTCGTTGTAGCACAGCTAATTTTAAAATGAATGTGCATGTCGCCGTGAGGGCATGCATTTCTCGAAACATGAGTTTTTCACTGATGTTCTTATGTTTTTGTTTACTAAATTATGCTGACATGTCATGCTTCGAGATGCATTGAAACTACTGCTGTACATGGTCACAGACTGACATGTGGGTAATTTCCGCTTATTAGCAAACTACAGAAGCTGACTGCCCAGTTATGTTTCAATGTCATAACATATAGCTGCACCTGCTATACGGCAAATACGATAGAAGCTGTCCATTCGTTTCAGGTTTTAGATGTATCACCTATCATCTCTTCGGGGTTTAGCCTGTCTTGCCTCGAGGCTTTGGGTTCAGGGCCAAATGTCTCCCATATCCCCTTTGCTTCTGCGTGCCGAAGCTACATGTGTATTTAAATGGCTTGGTGTAAACTGAAATGGGTTCATGTAGCCCCCGGTTAAGACCCCGCTGAGAGAGGGCCCCGCGACCCGTTCCCCCAATAGGGGTTTCTGCCTCCGAGAAGTCACCCTACATCCTATACGGACCCAAAGCCGGCTCTGTAGGCCAGGAGACCCTGAAGTTTAGAACCCCCGCCCGCCCTTCCTTCTCCCTCGGAGGCCTGAATGGCTAATCGGGCAGAGGAGAGAATCTCGCATGGTGGCCATGCAGCCCCAGATGAACTGACTAAAAGGGGCCCATGTAGCCCCGCATGCATCGAAAAGTGAACTAATCTAAAATGCCTTTGGGACATGTAGCCCCGCCCCCCCCCCCGATTTCAGTCTCACAAAAGCAACAGTGATTCTCCCATTAAAGTCCGGCGGCTTCTGGGACCACGCCACACTCTTAGGGCAGTGGGGCCTGCCACCCATCACATCCCCTTCGCTTTTGGGTCTGCGACCCAGTCAGAGTCGTCAGACTCTAGGGTTCCAAAGGCCATTTTTGAAGAATTCTGCATGGGTCGCCCATCTTCACATACCAAGGCTTGGGTGTTTGGGGAACAAGGGATCCCTGTAGGGCGTAGTCCATATTTATGTGTTGAAAATTCCCCCTCGGGTTGTTCACCCAACATCTNNGGCATGGGAACTTTGGGAACCACTCATCCCTTATAGGAGAAACTTTTTACCCGCCATAAAATTGCGTTTGGATATTGGATTTGTCACCCACTATACCGTGTCAGGGTTTGGGGTTAGGGTGTCGCAGGCTCTCTTTTTCATGTTTGGGTTTTGACCGTCTTCAGAAGTCTGGGGTTGTTTTGGTTTTAAGTTCCAACATCTCTATTGGGGTTAATTAAGGTGGTATTGGATTTCTGTTTTTTTTTTTTGGGGGGGGGGAGGGATTTGCCACCGATCAGCTCATGTCAGGGTTTGAGATGCTTGCGGCCTAGTCACTCCATTCCTGATGTATAAGATGTGCCATCCGGCTTAGAATCTTTGATGTGACGCATTGTGACACCCATCATCTCTCATCAGAATTCGGG